TCTCCTCTTCTTTTATTTGGATAAATCGTTTTAATGGAGGGGAAAGAGATGAAGGGAGACAGAACCCAATTTCCTCCTTTGTTTTTAATCCTCTCAATTTGAAAGGATTGAGACGGATTATATTATTTAATTTATCTCTGTTTTTAATTTTTTTTAAAAGTAAATATATAAACATTTTATTTCAATTATTTATTTAATTAATAAAATTTAAAAATTTTATTCTTCTTTATTTTATTTTTTATTAAATTATTTAATTAAATAAAAATATTATCTTTTCCTCTCCTTCACTTTTATCTATCTAAACAAACCTAATATCAACCTTTTCCTTTCCTTCACTTCTCCTCTTCTTACTTCCCCTCCCATTCCTTTTCTTTCCTTTACTAATTTTTATCCAAACATAGGCTTAGAGATAATGAGGAATTTGTGAAATTTTAGAGAAGCTGGCGACAAGAAGAAATTGGGAACTTTTGGAAGGCTAGGGTTCGACTGAACCCGCCTTTTATTTTTATTTTAGTCCACAAGGTAAAACAACGTCATTTTGCAATTCTTCCTTTAGCCCTTTAGGTTTTTAGATTTTTTACAGAATGGTCCATTGACTTTTATTATTCAATCCTTGGTTAATTGAGTTATGACAAATATTATATAAAAAATTATCCTTATATCAATGCACTTTTAGCTTAAATCAAAATTATTTTAATAGATCCCACAGTCACATGGTCAAATATGTTCTTCAAATATTTGGGTAATATTTGGAACAAATAAATTTTTTTTTTTGGCAACTTAATGTGCGTCCTCATCCCAGTTAATAGAATTTAATATAAAGTTAGCAGAAGGGCCAAAAAGGTACTGAAAGTTAACACATAAGGACTATTTTTTGTATTTTCTTTAAAGACTATTTTAATACTTTCAAAAGTTTAAGGACCATTTTGGTGATGCAAAAAAAGGATCATTTTGGTATTTTAACAAGAAAGTAAGAAAGGTAAAACCGTCCAATTGTGTTGGCTTACCACTTCGTAGCCCTCTAATTATGTGTCTTTAAAATTATTAACCCTTTTACATATAATTTGTGCTTTTTAACTCATAAATTTTACGTTATTATTTTAATTGACCTAAAATAGATAGAATTCTATCACATGAATCATGTGGCTATTTCTACTCCGTTAACCTATCCTCATCAATGCCATATTGGAGTAAATAGGGTTAACTTGAATCCATGAAAGTTAGAAAATGTTTGTTCTAGATGAGACCCATTGCTCTTGGGGCAGGATTTTCCACTTTTGTGGATCTAAGTAGACCATATTTAGGCTAGCATAAAGCTGACAAGGATAAGGTAATGGAGTAAAGATAGTTATGTGACTAATGTAATGAGATTCTATTTCAATTACAGTAATAATGTGAAGTTTATGGGTTAAAGTACATAAAGCATATATTAGAGGGCTAATGACTAAATATAAACAGTTGGAGAGCTTTGAGGGCGTTTATGCCGATTGTATTTCAGATCCTTCCAAGTCTACTCCCTAGTCGTATTCTAACTTTAGAGTCCGCTCCTCAGCTCAGACCATTCAAACGTCGGAAGGCAATCAAGATCCCCATTTCACACTGTAGCGCGAGATTGAGAAACTCCCCGGCGAAGAAGAACAAGAACAAAGATGGGATTTCTGTGCAAGCTTGTGGATGCGTCATTGTTGCTAGTCTTCTCGGTGATCGCATTGGCGGCGCCGTTGATTGATTCGCAGACTTTCTTGCCGCAGAGCGTCTTCCCGGAACTAGTCGTCGATCTCAAGAAATATTACATCCGCCACTACGACGATTATCTGTTGGATGAAATGCCCAATTTCTTCGTTGGCTTGATTTGGGTCGAGCTTCTCTTTCAGTGGCCTCTCGCCGTCCTCAATATCTACGGGATTTTGGCATACAAACCCTGGTTCAAGACTACTTGTCTCATATATGGCGTCTCTGTTCTCACGTCCATGGTAAATTTTACTTCTGTTAATGGGCAGTGAATTTTTTTTTTTGTTTTTCTTCTGGGAAATATGATTTAATAGGAAGAAAACATAGAAAAAGGATGGTATATGACATGATTTTTGCCTTGCCTTTTTGCTGCATCTAGAGTTAATGTGGTTCTATTGTTGCCTTGATTTTCTTTTTCTTTATTGTTTATTGAATGAATTGATAAAATGGAAATTTTTAGCTAATAGATGAATCACTTAACAGCATTTTTTTTTTAAAGATGAATATGAAGATAAACGGAAAAGCTCTATTTCTGATTTCAAATAAATAAAGAAATTGATTTTACTAAGAGGCAATGCGAATATAATTATGCATTGTGGAGTATGCCATAGACTTTTGTTAGAAGATATTTTGATATCAAAAGCCTCTTCTCTGTTCTTGCATTTTGGTAACTTTGTGTGAAATCAGGCCGCCATACTAGGAGAGCTGATTGGATCGCAGAAAGCATCGGATAAACTGATGATGATGTATTGTCCATTCATGGGATTTGGTATTTTAGCCATGCTACGAGGATTGGTTCCCTGCACTAATACTTCTGGATCAATGGGCAAGAAACCTGCATCTGCAACAGCTAGGAAAAAGAGGGCTTGATAAAGAAATCAACCACTTTGAATTTTATGATTCTTTCTTGTGCCATTTAGGATAATCTCAATTTTAATAATGAGTTATTTTTCAGTTTTGATGATGCTATTGGTTTCTTTTGAACACTTCAGTTTAGATGATGTTGATATTGCCGTTTCTAAGTTTTGTCACCTTTAATCATGAAGACATGTTTGCATTATTTTATCACAAACAATTTGTCATTTTATTATTGGCTTAGTGCTTGATTTTATTGATTTTATTGTTGACTTAATGCTTGATTTTATTATTGGCTTTTAATTTCATTTCTACAATATATGATATGTAGCTTACATGAATACTGAGTTTTTATAATATTAGTTATTATGTGTAGGAATGTACCTTTTTGGTACTTTTTTCTTTTTCATCAATATCATGCTAAATAATTTGCTGTTGGAATGGTAATTATAGCTGCAAATTCTTGACTCTGGTGCAAGAGATTCAAGAGACTTATTAGCTGTTGGGTTCATTTGGATAGGTGCAGTTGCAAAAGATGTTTGTATAACAATTGCTAGAAAAGGCTGCTTCAGCCTACAGAAGTAATTTATACAAATTGTCCTTTACACCAGCCCTCTTTTTACTTATGCATGTCGAGGTCATTTTGTGAGTAATATGCTGTTAACTGCTTGTTTGACACTTATGTTGTTGTGATTCCTGTTTTTTCTACCAGTTAACCAATCCTTTGTAATTAGGCTATCATATCTCTTTTTCTAAATTTATTTATCCAAAGAGAAAGCAAAAGGCTCTTCTGCATAGCAGACTGAAATGGTCAAACATAAACAGTAGAAGAATAAGCAACCACAAACAATAGATAAGCAAAACTATTAGAAGCTTCCACTGGTGAGGCATTAGCTATATTGGCAAAGGGATAAGTGGATGTCTAAGAGCTTCATTGTTGTGACTTTGATATGGTTGTATCCATTGTATGAAAATTGTTATCAAGAAAAGAAAAAGGAAACAGACAGCAGAGCCACAAGTTCTCTTCCATTATCAGTTGTTATGAACTGAAATGCTGCAGAGTAGCTCATAGGGATTTTATGTTGGAGTTTCTGTTTTTATTTTATTTTATTTTATTTTATTTAGTCCCAAGTTTTTTATATATCTATGTACACCATAAATAACAATTTTGGGATCATGCCATATGTCAGGTAGAAGTTTTAACAGGAAGCAAATTTTTCCTGATTCTGTACATATGCTGGTAGAAGTGTTCTTTCTAAGAAAAAAAGGAGGTGATTTGATGTGGGCTAGTCCATAATAGATTTTCTTTTGATAACTTTTGGAAGTCTGAGATGTTGCAGCATAAGTTAAGAGACAGTTTCTTCCTTTATCTTTAATGTGGTATTCTTTCCTATTTTATGAGAATTGGAGCTGCACTTTTTTTTCCTTTATAGTAATATATAGACAAAGTAAGGTACCAGTTTAGTGAACTCTGTCTATATATTACTATAAAGAAAATATATATGATTTTGATTTGAGTTTGCATCCTCTGATTCTTTGTCTTTTGTTGAATGCATAGCAGGTTCCATCCTCTAATGTTTCATCTTGATTTAGTGTCCTATGGCCTTCTTGTTTCATGAGCTTATTCTATTTATACTCAGTTAGAAGTTGTAAAGTCCTGGTTTTGTCCTTCATATCATTCATTGCTTGAGTAAGAAAATGGTTTTCATCTTAAAATGTTCGATTAGAGTTTTAAAATTGTTCCTTAGTAGTTCAATTTTGATGACTCTGTTGGGGTAAGGGCATTGTTTGTGGGCTTGGTTTAATATTCACAATTACTGTGGAAGAGAAAGGAAGTTATTCTACTCTCTTCACCTGTTCATTGATTCTCATGTCCTGCGGTTTGTGAAGTAATGTTATTCATTGGTTATTTTTTTACTTTTGCCATTGTCCTCCAGATTGCCTCATCATGATTCGAGTTTTGCTTTCTTCAAATTTTAATGTTTGAATGGGCTTTAATTTGAGTGGGAAAATATGTGAGTTGTATTTGTTTCCTGTGTATTTTATATAGCTGTTCAACATCCTGGTGATGTGCTCGAATGATTTGTTAATGTTCTTGGTTTATGATGGTGTTCATGGTCTGTTCTTGCGATTTCGCTGCTGTTTGAGTCTTCTCGTTGCAATTTCATAGTTGTTAATATCATGCATCCTTTGTAGAATTCAATTTCAATTATTTGACAAATATTCGAGTGAATTACATTAGGGGTTGTGATTGAAGAGGAAAAGTAAAGAAAATAAATGAAAGAAAGGTGAGGTTGGAAAAGAAAGCAGGATAGTAGTAAGCGCGGTTAGAGGAGAGATGAGATTCGAAAGGAAAATTTTGAAAGGAGAAGAAAACTGAAAAACAGAGGCTGTGAGAAGATACATATAGAAGAGGAAATGTGGGAAATGTCCGAAGGGACTAAACAGAGAGAAAAACAAGAGATTAGGTAGTGTTTGTGCTCAACACCGGAACTTCTATGGTTTGCCCATCCTCGATTTCCACGTTGCCATCTATGGATGACAATGATAACATTGCAATGTTTAAAATGGTTAAGGAACCTGGAGCTCATATGAATTGAATTAGATTCGAATCCCTATCCCATGTATCAAAAAGGCAAAAGTAAAGGACCCAGTACCTGGATTTTAAAATCAGAGCATGACATAAAAGATATACAAGCCTACAAGAAATGATTCTAAATCAATTCTCGGTAATGTATCTGATCTTCCATAACTCTGTCTTCTCTACTAGGATTAGGGTTATGGTTGATATTTGTCTACTATAAGGGTGGATTGTCCATGAAACCATGGGTTTCTCTTCTCATCGATACTCTAATCTTAATTATTCCCTCACATCTAACATTTAGTGTTTAAAAAGAAGAAAACAACAAAAGAATAGAAAAGGTTTTAGATATGATGTCACTTTTTTTCAAAAATCTTTAAAAATACAACAAAACTAAAAAATTCTCTTAAAATTAAATATAGAATTTAAAACTTTATAAAAGAATTTATATTGATAAATGGACACCACCTGAGGGTTATATCCATTCAAAAAAGAAATTATTTGAAAAGACACATCTTAACTGTTGAGAGTTATGTTTAAATTTCAAATATATTCCTTCACATTTAATTTTAGAAAATTAAATTCAAATTTTAAAATTAATAAAAAATAAAATTATGATATATAAATCTCTTTATTTTTCTATTCTTCTTAGATAGCTCAAGTACCCAAGTGCCTATTTTTAAATTTTAAATGAAAATATAAATGCGCAAAGGTTAAACCCGAAACCAACATGTCATAAACCAAACTTCGCTTAATTGTTTATGGGTAAAGGGTAAACAAATATAAATTCTTTTGTTTTTCTATCCTTCCTAGACGTGGGATATACACAATTGCAAACTATTTAATATTTTCCTACTAATTTGAAATGTTAATTTAGTTCTACTCGCCAAGAAATATACTTATGGAAGGTATATATGTCTCAATTTAAACCTTCCATTAGTAAATATACCTCAAATTTAATGAAGTTATTGGTGTCTAAAGATTAAACCATAACTACTTATATTAGACAAAGGTGTATGACACAAATAAGACTCGTCTATTTAATCCAAAAGGTTTAAAACCATTTTAGCATTATTGTGGCCATATACTCATCTTGGTAATAATGGTCATTTACAAGAGAATCCATCATTTGTTGTACCTATGATTTTGATGATTATAAAACACATTTGAGTTATTAATTGGTTCATTTAAATGTGTAGTTAAAATGTCAAAAGATTGAAAAGTAAGTAAACTTGGACTGCACTAAAAATGGATCAAAAGGCTTGAAAATGTGTAGAGAGCCGGCTATTGAAAATTGCAGCCAGCTGTAAAAGTGCAGAGAGCCAACTCTATAAGCTGCAATCGGCTCTACAGGTAAAAACTTAAAAGTAAGTTGTTTGGCTCACGTGAAGAAAAGACGCAAAGTCGCTCCAACTTTGCAGCTGATTGTGAGGGTGCATTTAATGCACAACAGTCGAGTTATTTGAAGATTATTTAATGTGTTTAAAGTTGGAATCCCAAAGCCGGCTTTATGATTTGCAATCGGCTGTGTAAGCAAACAGAATGTGCAGGAAACCCGCAAAACCGACTGTAGAATTTTTAAATTGGCTCTATAGAGAAAATAGAATGCAAGAAACCCGTAGAGCCGACTGCAAAAAAGTTAAGCCGGCTGTGCAGAGCCAACTCTAGAAGTGTAATTTGGCTGTGTTGACAATTTTGCAACTCTAATTAAGCAACTTGCAGAGCATTAAATGACCCCCTAACGACTAACGGCTAGTAATAGCTATTTTTGACCATGGGGTTATAAATATGGTTGGTAAAAGATTTGAAGCAAGTTTAGAGAGTATTGCATTGAATATCTTTATCTACCTACATGAGCTTTAACTTGAGTTTTTGATCTTTGAGAGATCTTTACTTGTAATCCTCTTCTTGTTCTATTTGTGAGTGATCTTGGGGGTGTGATTAATCCTTCAAGAGTGATCTATAGAGAGGATTCTTGGGGTTTATATTGTAAAGGGGTGAGATTTAAGATAAATACCATTTTTCTTGTAAAAGGATTGAGTGGCTCCTTTAAGCCACCCTTGATTTTGTTAGTGGAAAGTGTGGAGGAAATTCTTGGTGAGTGAAGCCAAGGTAGAGGACTAGGTTCCAAGTGGTTGGACCAAACCTCTATAAAATCATTGTGTAAGCTCTTCTTCTCTACTCTCTCTTTGATTTTTGTTTGGTGGTTGCAAGGAGGTGAAAAATTTTCAACTCCAATTCACTCCCCTTCTTGGAGTACATTGAGTCAACATCATCTTCTTGTTGAAGTGTGATAAGAAGAATTTTATATACTTTAATCTATTATTTTAATTTTGATTTTATTACTATTTGCAAGGCTAATACGTGATTTTTAATAGATTTTATATCATTTTATTCTTTGTATAGAAAAGGACTTGAATGCATAATAATGAGTTTTTGAGATTAATCGAATATATTTTAAAAGTTAAGGGAATGAATTGCAAGATGACACATATTTCGTAGTGTCAGTACTATGCGTTAAGCACCTCCAGCATTAAAGTTTCCTGTTTTTACCTTTGTTCTATTTCTTTTTTAATAGGTTTCTTAAACTCTATAAATACCCATTTAAAAATCAAATTTAGGGCATTTG